ATCTTTCCCTTCATAGCGCGCGATCGCGTGCGGCAAGCGCGACACGCCGCTCGGGGACAAGATGCCAGACCCTTGCTGAGCACTGCCGTTTATAATCCGCTGGTACCCAATTCTTTCTTCGTCCATTTTTTTTAACACCGGTGGATTCCTTCTAAATTAAACTGTGATCGATTTCAAAAATTCAACTATTAGTCGAATCTTTTCTTATTTCTGAGTTTTCCAGTGAATCAGTTGAAATTTGCTCATTTCTCCACCTTACTCTTCAGGATGGGATTCTTTGGCGCTCATAAAATCAATAATTATACCAGGAGCAAGCCGTACCCCGAACGCTTTGCGTATCGATCACCAATCTATTATTGAAAGGAAGCGCGCATCATTAAAAGTTAAGCGATGCCATGAAGATTATGATTTTCATCGGTCATAACCGTCTTCGATCTGCTCTGGCCATCGTGCGCTGCGCGTGCGTGCGCTTAGCCTAATACGCAACTGATGCTGCGCAACCGCACGCGTCCTCGATGAACATATTACATGGATGAGCATTCACCAGTTGATTCTATAATGTTTCATTAAGAATAAAGCCATAAATGTAACAACATTTTCTTGACACAATTTCTTTCAAAAATATGTCACAAATTCTCGAGTCGCTTCAAGACTACTCGCAGCAATTGCTCTACATTTGCACATTCGTCGAACAATTTCTAATTTCTTCTCGGACTTCACTTCTCACAACTCCTATATTTCAAATTAGCCTTTTTCTGGAGTCGCTGCAGCAGTGACCTCGAAACCGCCGGCGTGCAATTTCAATTGCGTTTTACCCTCATCTCTCTTACGGTCAGCACCGAACTGGTTCCGTTCCTCGATATTTGCCTCATTTTTCCGGTTCAGGCTCTCTCGTCGTTTCATTGATTTAGCTCAAGTTCTTTCTGATATAAAAATATACGAACTACTTTTTCCAGCAGAAACCGAGATGTAAATATTATCGGTTTTCTAAAATCATACATCTGTCACCGCACATGCGGACCGTCGCGGCGCGGCCTGGTGTATGTTGCCACAGACTTGCTCCCTGGACGGTGAATATTTTACCAGTACACGAGTTTTCCAGAAATGAGTTAAGCGCAATCTGGGAGTTGGGTATGTTGGAGAGCTGGCCAGGCTTTACTGGC